CCACATGGACGAGAAGATCGGTAGGTTGAGGCATATACTGTTTCAAAGTAATTACTCATTAGGATTCATATACAAATACATTTCAATTGTCAGTAACAAGATGAGAATGTTTGCTATAAGAGGCGGGATATACAATTAAATCATTATATTCGTTTCCTGAATTTGCCTTCCTATGAGTTTACGAAAAGGTTGAGTGATCTACTGAAAACTGGAACACTTTCTTCAGTAGCTCCCTCTTTCTAGATCAGGCTCCTACTATATTTTGTGCTCTTGTGTTAAGGTCTATGTGGGGAAACCTGTCGAGGCGTCCAGAAGATACCATGCGAACACAAAACTTCTTATAAAGGCCCATTGCCCGAAAACTGAGTTCACTAAACACATGGTAAATACAAGATACTCAATACACTGGTCCAAAACACGTTTTGAGGGTTATGGGGACCTCATATCAAAGCGTAAGATTGGGGGGTTTATAAAAATTAACAAAACAGGCAACGTCTTGAATAAGAGGAACGAGTGCAGAAAGCTGAGTAGGAATTATTTGTGGCTGTTGAATAGGCTTAAAGAGAGAGAGAGAAAAAGAGCCCCTAAACAAGAGGAAGCAGGACAGCCTCGAATCTAGCTATTACATGCACACAATAGACAATAGCACAAACCAAAACATGATTCAACACTAGGGGTTGGTATACAAGTTTATTTATGCAAGGAAATAGCTGTCACCCAATGCGCTTCCAATTGGTGAAGAAATTTCATTTATTTGCAAGCATGTAGAATAAGATCGTTAACATGATAAGCAGGATAGTGTGGCCTTCGGTCTTGACAACCAAATCATGGGATGACTCATTGAGATTGAGAATTTAGGTGTATAAAAAACCGACAGGTTGCGGCCGACCATATTTTCTCTTGGTTTACTATATTTTTCATCTACTTCCTAAAGCATGGATTCTTGCTCTGATGACGTGTCCCAATCCAGCTAAAAACTTAACGCAGGTTCATCGAGGTGGCAAGATGGTGAGTAAAGGACTTCTTTGCACAATACAACAGTCTTTTCTACGCGGCAATCCTTCTTTAGTTTCCGGTAAGACGACATCACGAATTCCTCCCAGCCAACTTTCCTTCGAAATGGAAATTCATGTCATAATAGTTCAAAAGCGAAATCAAATCAATTATTCGAAATACTTAAAACGAGAACATCTCAAAATATATTAGGATTACCTTTTTATTACCATGACAATAGGAGAATTGCCAAATGTCATAAGAGGGACATACATTAGTATTCGCAATAGCAATATAAAATTAATTTTTAAGATCCAGTTTACGCTGCAAATTATATTTTAAATGACTGACATTGAAGCCTCTAGAATTGAAACCAAAGGCCTTAAGCCAGTCTCCTTATTAATATTCTTCAGTCCGTTCATCTTCCATTTGTATATTTTAATTAACGATATGTGAGATTGATATCTCATAAGCAGAACCGCTAAGCTTCCTTTGGGGTCAATTTAAACAGGCCTACAACTTCTGCACTTGACAAAACATGAGACAAGGTTAGCTCATTGTAAATTTCCTTTGCATATGCTTGCAGTCTTTGAGGATAACTTGGTGTTGAGTGAATGCTTCCAGTTACCTAGGGGTAATATTAAGGAACCAAATCTCCTGGTTATTTCAAAAGTATGCCTCTAAACTTGAATTTAATTCACAACTTGACTAAGCTTCATCAACTAATTACTACGCATATCCTGAAAAAATCAAATTAAGTCTAGACCAGACAAAGTCCATAAAGCAGCAGATAAGAAAACGAACACTACTTAATGCATATATAGAACTTCTCCAGCATGTAAAAATTAAGACAAATTTGAGGTATAGGTGCGTTTACCGTATTGCCTCATAATTTAGTGAGTGGATTTCGTACGATGAACACGGTTCAGTTTTTTGATCTGTGACCACGAATGGGCTAGTAGTAACATGTTAGCCACCAAAAAAATTAAGTTTAACCTCAAGTACAATTAACTAAGATTGATATTCTTAGTGAAATGATTGTAACCTAAGGATGCCATATAATCGATACCACCTATGTGGCTTAGACACATTTAATATCCTATTACAAGAATATATTTAAAATAGCAGAACCTCTATTAACTGTCTAGAGGCTTTGTTTTGCCTTCTTAGTCTGAACTTTGTAGGAACGATGAGTTGCACAGAACTACAAACGGTAAAAGATAGCAAATCCACATAATCATTTCGGCCTAAATAAAATCGATAAACCGAGTCTCCTTTATAATCTACATTTAGTTAGAAACTGCCTAGATAGAAGGACTGCTTTGTCAAAGTTTAATTTAAGCCTTTTTCAGAATCATAAAATGTGCTTTACTACCAGGTCAACTTCACAAAGAAAACTAAGGACAAATATAATTAATATTCGGCAGAGTCCATCACAAAATAGACCGAAAAAAACCAAATTCGATACGCTGGTTTAATATATAGTACAATTGTACAATGATATAATTTCATCATGATAGTATTTCTTCTACTCAGAGATAAACAAATTCGCATTCTTTAAGCATGTGAATTTGCAATAATCGATATAACAAAAAAAAATTCAGAAAGAAGTATCTTTATTTGCTTTAATGCAAGGCAAATATGAAATGAAATATCAAAGTCAGCGAAATTCGATAAAGTAACCTTCCTGTATGGCCGTTTTAACCTAAAATATAAAAATGAGCAGATAGCAGTGGGGAGGCTGCCTTACGAAAGACCAATGAAATTGAAGGCCTTTATAATCTTCTGAGTAATGGAGAATTGGGAATTCAACTAATATTTTTAAGAATCTGCTCGAATGATTAATCAAATAGTCGCTAAAATTGGTTTTAGTGGAATCAAACAGCCAAAAGTAGAATAAACATGCCAATTTGGCCTGCCAGGAAAATAGACAAATCAGGAAAATCGAAAACAGGAGGGATTTGTTTGAAAATAAGCTTTATATAAAGGTGCAAGAAAAGGCACAAATGAACCTTAAATTGACTAGAAAAATCATATTGCATATCACAGCTGCCAAACTAAAAAGAAACCGAATTTCGCAGACTGGCAAATGAGGTCAAACCCTCTGCTCTAGATGAGCTCTGAGGCTGCACCAGAAATCAAGTTTCATTGACTCGTGCGTGAAAGGCATATGCGATTTCATACCTGTGCATATGTGTGTGATCTTATGGGCATGCTTATCTGTGCACATATGTGAAGAAGAGACGTGAGGAGTGTAATAATGAATTAGTCTGAATAAACCCAGTCGTGAATTTCACGTGTGCAAGCACAAAGGGGAACGGCAAATAGTCTGATGTTTATGGTGTGAAAGCTGGATTGTTTACGCCCTCTTCAACGCCATCGTTTGACGCTAGCACATGAGAATAACAAGAATTAGGAACTGGCGGCTGCGACTGACTGCATATTGAAGAGATTTCAGGCCTCTGATGAGATGGCGGGACCTCCAGTTGTGTCGAGTGGTCGATGCAGGAATCCAAGTTGTTCTGAGTAGAGCTTGGAAGCAAGTGAGCTGGCTCTTGCGATGGTGACAATTGAGGCACAGAATAGAAATTACACTCAGGTGGGGCAGGCGAATAAGGTGGCTGAATATTTGGTTCAGCCGCTGCAGCGTCAAAAGCAGAAGAGACGGCCGAATAGGGAGGTGGCAGGACGTTTGGCCTGCACTGGTCGGCAGCATCTGCTTCAGTTGATGGCTTTCCGGGCGACCAATGAACTGGTCTGTCCATCAACAGAGGTGAGGCCGGATGAAACGGATGAGATCCACCAGAGGGCTCCGTAGGAGAGCCATGGTAAAGTGGATGAATAGCTGGAAGTGATTGTTCCGGGGAGCCAGCATCCGACCGTCTGAATGAAAGAGAGATCGGCAACGAGGTAGCGTCCGAACTTGTGGAAAGCGATTGAAGAGGGAAGTGAGTCTGGTATCCATGATGCATGACTGATGCATATGTAGGTGGTAGATCTGGTTCTAGAAACCCAGGGCAGAATGGATAAGTGAAGAATCAAGATGATCCCCAGCCATTATACAATGCGTGAAATTATTCAAGAATAAAGTAAATTAACCAAATTAATATTCAAAATAAAAAAGAAAGAACAACACAGAGTAAAATATCACAAAACTAAAATAAAAGGCTTTAGGTATATAATATCATTAAGGCAATCAAATCTTGTTCACCATTTGCCGCAAAGTTACACGATTATTTCGATGGCTACAAGTGAAAATCGTTGGCCAATCTATTCTTCGAAATACAGTGTATTATTTGAAATAAAAAATAAATACGAAATTATAGCAATTGGCTTCAACTCTGTCAAAATAAAGCACACTAGACAAAGCTATTTATATCAACCATGGTATCTAAAGGAATCCTTCGAGTCTATTCGAATGAAGGCAACAGAAATGTGATTGGCCAACTTATGGACGGGCTATTTGAGAATTGTGATTGAAACCATTATTGTTACACTTGTAGTTTTCTGGATCAAGTAGTCTTATGCTTTTCTAGCATACATGCAAAAGCCTGTAAATCATAACCTGCAAGTTTGCATAATGCTAGCGAGAGCAAGAACTAAGTGCACTTCAAGTTAGATAATGATAAACCCAAAATCGGATTTATCCTCTGCATTACGGGTTGCGTACTGTTACCCCTGGATTAGATGGATCCTTAAAGATGATCAAACACTAAGATATCTGTTTACAAGATACGGTATCTGTAAAATAATGTTAGGAGGTCATATGGTGACATTATTCTTAGTAAATCCAAGAGAAGACTTGAGTTTGCATGTAAATTCACTGCTACATGCAAATGTAGAAGAAGCTCTCAGCCGAGTTTGACTCCCTCTTTGATCCTGTCCAAGTTTTAGCCACCGTTTCAAAAGGGTGGAAATGAGGCTTAATGACAATTCACCAAAACACGAAGGCAAGAGAAGTGACCGGCTTTAAAATTACCTACTTCTTATAATCCAACTTGGTTCACTTAATGAGGCAACTCATGTTTTGATGGAACATCATATGCTTTGTCTAAATGTTTACTGAAAAGCTAAGTGGTTGCGGATACTTATACTTTTGATCACGCAATGTTGCTGCATTCTATTGTGTTCAAGTGTACGCCTGCCATGGGAATGCATTGCTCTTGAAATGAGTTTGATGTGAGAGTAAAAACCAGATTCGAGGCTAAGCGAGCCCCCCTCTCTTATCTTATCCAACAGAAACAAGTAGTTTCCACTTAACTTCATACACCCATTAATTCTATTCAAAATGTTGGCTCTATTGTTGTTTTATATTGCTTCTGTGCGAGCCTTGTTTCCGGCCAATTCTGAATTTAGACCCACAAATTCTTGCAGGCTGTGTTGAGTTCAGATAGGCGCTACCGCATGAACACAAAACCTTATAACAGCCCGAGCTGGAGAAAGGGTCAGAGTATTCTCGAATAAAAGGCAAAAACTGGAAAAGTTTTAGTTTCTCTTAATAAATGGTCCTGTTTCACCTCAATAAATCGCCTATCTTCTTTTACAGAATACACGATGGCAGCATATGGACTATAGTAGAGAAGTCTAACGTTTGATGTAGACCAAAATATGTCAATCAGTCTTCGTGGATAGTTGTAATCTCAACCATAATTCTCGTTTGTATCGTCAATTCCTGACCCCGATGCTTAACATCTGCCAGACGCAGGCTCCTTATTATCATAGACCTTATAATTCTTAGAAGTGGGTTGACCTCGTTGTAGCAATTTGGTCTTGTTGTCAGGGCGAATTAATAGAACGCACCTAATCCCAAGTCGTCTGCAATAGTAGTTGTCATGATTCTCAGCATCACACTGTGGACTTGGTACATTCTCAAACGTTTCGCCGGCATCATCAGTGAGTTTGGCCATTCGCCGCACCAAGCTACGAACTCGCCAGAGACAAGTGAAGTCAATCCCTCGACAAACGTTTTGCCGAAAACGGTTACACTATCACTTCTTTTTCTGTCCTGGCCTATCTATATACTCTTTACCCTCTAATCATAACTTCTCACTTGTTTACATTACTCTCGTTAAAATGTGTGCCCTTTTGTGGCAAATCTTGTGTGGCCTCATCACACTTGCTATTTAACCCGACCCCTCTCTTTCGATCGGCTCATCCGACTCAAGCCTCCAATCCGGATCCTCCCATTGTCTCGTAGATCCGTTCCTTATCTTTTTGTTTAACCAATTTCACTCGGTTCCAGTCCCTGTATGCATTTCACTCCAGGCGCTATTTCTTAAGGCCCTAGAAGCACGTACACTGCCGCTTCACTGAGCAGAGCGCCTAAGCTATAATTCCCATGCTTGCAGATATCAGGCCTTCCATACACTGGTCGTCTCATTAATTAAACCCATGCTATCTGAGCAAGCTGTCAACGCCTATCTCTGGTCGCATGCGGCATCTCAAATGGATTTCTAGTGCATTTTTCGCATAACGCCGAATTTCGATGATCCGTCTGCCCAGCTCCTTGACTGCTAGTCCCCCAAAGTTTTACTGGTTTATTCGAAATGGACATCACTCACTGACAACGTCTTCGGTTTATTGTTGAAAACCCCTACCCCCCCCCCTAATTTATTCATCGCGATCCCTTTTTCTCTGGTTAGGGGTAGATCCTTGATCCAGGAGTCTCCTTTTTGCTGGTCTTGCTCTATTC